AAGTAGAGGCCTTCTATATATCCATGCTGAACATGTAGCATAGTTGTTAAATAAATTGTTTTCTTCTAATAAAACAAAAAATCTTTTTTCTCATCAAATAATTGGTCATCTTGAGGTACTGTTAGTATAGAGAGACAGGATAAATTTTCTTTCCTCTCATTCATTAGCTTTAAAATCAATTATTTAGTCCTTCTGTATTCCCCAAAGGTGACCATTGAGTGAATTACTTCTAGTTATCTTTATAAACTTATGGATTTAAACATATTTTGTTCGAATCCATTACAGTTATTATAATTACTGATGCTCAAATTTCCAGCTTCATCATTGTCAGGGGATGGACCTAAGACTTCTTCCAAGCTCTCCTCATGAGTTCCCATCATCATGATTTTAGAATTTGGTTTCAGTTTGAGAACGCCAAGCTTAACATCATTTTCTACAGGTTTGCTTTTAACTTTGAGTTCAGTTAACTTTTGGTGTTCTGGCAGTACTCCTGTAAGGGTCTTGAAAAACTGTTTGAGAACTGGCATAGTATCATCTTCTGAAAATGTGGTCACTGAAAATTCTTGTCCACGCCAGTTTTACAATGAAGGGAAAGTAATGTTTTTTTCATATGGTGCTGACACCATAACAAGGTTTGAGGGCTATATGTCTCACATATGCATCTGAAAACCCAGTTACCACACTTATGAAGTACAAAAGGATCAAGAGTCATTTTTGAAACATATGCAGAGGCAGCTTTCCTTCAGAAAAAAATCCCCGGAGTGCAGCAGAGCCAGTGGAAGCGGACACAGAAACTGCCATGTTTGTATGTTGATGGAAATGCTCCGTTACAGAAAGAAACCCGTGATGTGCAAGAGAAGGGAAGAATTATTAGCATCTGGGCAGAAAAGCACAAATGAGCTCTGATATTAAGTGAGGAAGAGATTATCTTGCATAGAACATGGATAGTTCATTCATAGTAGCAGGAAGGTAGGCAGAGTATATGGGTCCCACAGAGGTGGGCTGGTAGATGTGCTGCTGAAAGCTTGTGAATGAAAATAGGTAGTGAGCCGGGCTCGGTGGCTCAGCCTGTAATCCTGCGCCTTTGGGAGGCTGAGGTGAGTGGATTGCCTGAGCCTGCGGGTTCGAGACCCGCCTGGGCAGTGAGACCTCATCTCTACAATAAATCAAAAAATCAGCCGGGCGTAGTAGCGCATACCTGTAATTCCGGCTACTTGGAAGGCTGAGGCGGAAGGCTTGCTGGAGCCCAGCAGGTTGAGGCTGTGGTGGCCGAGAGTGGCCACGGCACTCCAGTCTGGGCGACAGAGTGAGACTCCAACTCAAAAAAAAAGAAAATAGGTAGCATGATCATCTTCTGTGCCTGAGGATAGGGGAGGAGATGCTGGATATGTAAAGGGCAAAAAAGGCCTTAGAGAGTTATTTTGGAGAGTGAATCGGAATAGTGTTAGGGAAGGATAGGATTGGTTGGTTCCACTTTGAGGTTAGTAGTAATGAATTTAAGATGAGAATAGTTTTCAGATGATTGTGTGTTTTTTCCCCCCTAGTTACTTCCATTCATTGGGGTACAGGTGCAGAGTAGGTGATGATTCAACCAATATTTGAATTTTGCTGGACAAGGACATTGGCAAGTAGAGCAGTAGATTTAAGAGATGGATGGTAGGGAGTGATTATGATGACGGACCAGGGAATCTAAACTGGTTAAGGAGGGGAGTGAAGAATGAGGCCATAAAAGTGTGGTATGTTCATTCATTGTAGGTTCATGTGGTCAAAGAATTGTTAGAGTTGTGCATCTGGAGAGAGTAAGTTGGAAGATCTGGAGAGAGTAAGTTGGAGAAAATAGAGTTGAAAACAATATTAAAATTGGAGAAGGGTGTACAGTTATTATTATGTATGATTATAGGAATGGATGCCTAAGGTAAAGTGGAAGATAAAATCAATGGAGGAGATGTCAAGGAACCAAGAGGCTAGGGTATAGGAAGGATGATCCACGTTGATACTGAAATCATGGGTTATCACTGAAAAGAGATAAATATAAATCAAATCTTCAATGCATGAGGAGAGTGACTGGGGATTATAGCTGGCATTTCTTGGCTTGTTCTTCATTTTGTATATATTTCTATATGTTTTTTTTTTGTTTGTTTGTTTGTTTTTGAGTTGGAGTCTCACTTTGTTGCCCAGGCTGGAGTGCAGTGACCGCTCCTGGCCACCTCAGCCTTGACCTGCTGGGCTCCGGCGATCCTTCTGCCTTAGCCTTGCAAGTAGCTGGAACTACAGGCATGCACTACCATGCCTGGCTAATTTTTTGATTTATTGTAGAGACGAGGTCTCGCCTGCCCAGGCAGGTCTCGAACCCCACGGGCTCAGGCATTCCACTCATCTCAGCCTCCCAAAGACACGGGATTACAGGCTGAGCCACCGAGCCCGGCTATATTTCTATATGGACTTTTCTTGATTTGATACCATAACTTTTTGCATAGCATCCTGTACTCTAATCAGTTCTTAATCATACCCTGGTCTTTCATAACTCTGCCCTTTTATAGATCCTATTTCTTTCTTTCTTTTTTTTTTTTTTTTTTTTTTTTACTTTTTTGAGTTAGAATTTCTGTTGCCTAGGCTGGATTGCAGTGGCATGCTCATGGCCACTGCAGCCTCGACCTACTGGGCTTGGGCAAGCCTTCTGCCTCAGCCTTCCAAGTAGCTGGAACAACAGGTGCATGCCACCACACCCAGCTAATTTTTAAATTTATTGTAGAGACAAGGTCTCGCCAAGTTTCCCAGGCTGGTCTCAAACCCCTGGACTCAGGCAATCCTCTTGCCTTGGCCTCCCAAAGTGTTGGGATTGCAGGCGTGATCCACCGTGCCTTGGTTTTTTATGTTTTTTTTTGAATTGGGTCCTCACTCTGTCACCCAGGCTGGAGTGCAGTGGCATGCTCACAGCTCACCACAGCCTCGACTTCCTGGGCTCAGGTGATTCTCCCTCCTCAGTCTCCCAAATAGCTGGGACTAACAGGTGCATGCCACCACACCCGGCTAATTTTAATTTTTTTTTGTAGAAATGAAGTCTTGCCGGGCTTGGTGGCTCAGCCTGTAATCCCGTGCTTTGGGAGGCCGAGGTGAGTGGATTGCCTGAGCCCGTGGCTGCGAGACCCGCCTGGGCAACTTGGCGAGATCTCATCTCTACAATAAATCAAAAAAATTAGCCAGACGTGGTAGCGTGAGCCTGTAGTTCCAGCTACTTGGAAGGCTGAGGCGGAAGGATCGCCAGAGCCCAGCAGGTCGAGGCTGTGGTGGCCGGGAGCGGCCACTGCACTCTAGTCTGGGTGACAGCAAAGTGAGACTCCAACTCAAAAAAACAAACAAACAAAAAAGAAATGAAGTCTTGCTAGGTTGTGCAGGCTGGCCTAGAACTCCTGGGTCCAAGCAGTCCTCCCATTCTGGCCTCCCAAAGTGCTGGGATTATACACATGACCCACCACACCTGGCCTCAGATCCTATGTCTGTCCTTTGAAATGCTCTTAGCCACATGCCTGCCTTTCTTAATAGCACTCTTCCCCAGTAGATTATCTTTTCCTATTTATAGCCTATAGTGTTGATTTTATATATATATGTATTTTTTATTTTTTATTTGAGTTGGAGTCTCACTCTGTCGCCCAGACAGGAGTGCAGTGGCACGCTCCCAGCCACCGCAGCCTTGACCTGCTGGGCTCCGGTGATCCTTCCGCCTCAGCCTTCCAAGTAGCTGAAACTACAGGCGCACGCTACCACACCCAGCTAATTTTTTTGATTTATTGTAGAGATGAAGTCTTGCCAAGTTGCCCAGGTGGGTCTCGAACCCGCGGGCTCAGGCAATTCACTCACCTTGGCCTCCCAAAGCGCGGGATTACAGGCTGAGCTACCAAGCCTGGCTGATTATATTATTTTAAAGCTATTATTATGTATTCACTTGCTTTTTTTCCTTTTTATTTTTTAAACGAGATAAGCAGTTTCTCTAGGCTAAGAACCTTATCTTTTTGCCCCTGTAAAAACGTTTTCAGCAAATTCTAGGAATAGGTCTATTTGATAGATGCCTATTAGCTGTCAATTATTATCAGGTAAATGGTGTGATTTTTTTTATGTTTATATTTTAAGTATGATGCTTACTTAGATTTACTTATAGTGAGTTCCACAGTTAATGAAAAAGGTTTAAATTATAATGAGTTTCTCTTTTATTCATATATTATGATTATTATTAATTTAGTTATATTTTAGAGAAGATTTAAAAATATAGAAGCAATTATTGATTGTGCTAACAGCTTGGAGTAAAAATGGATAATGCATTGTTACTGGTACATTTTCAAGAGAGCCTCAGGTTTTTTTTTTTCCCTCCCCTCCCCTCCCCTCTTCCTTCTAGTTGGAGTCTCACTCTGTTGCCTAGGCTAGAGTATAATGGCACATTCACGGCTACTGCAGCCTCGACCGGCTGGGCTCAGATGATTCTTATGCCTCAGTCTTCTTAATACTTGGGACTACAAACGTGAGCCACCATGCCTGGCTAATTTTTTTATTTATTGTAGAGACAAGGTCTTGACATGTTGTCCAGGCTAGTCTCAAACTCCTGGGCTCAGGTAATCCTCTCCCCTCAGCCTCCCAAAGTGCTGGAATTATAGGTGTGAGCCACCATGCCCAGCAAGAGCCTCAGTTTTTAGTTTTCTCTGTCTTCTGGTTTGATGTTGAAAGTCAAGTTCATAGTTGAAGGAAGGAGGCCCTAAACTTACTGAGATAATATATGGAGTAAGGAAAACAAGTCTTTTTTTTGAGTTATGGTCTCACTCTGTCGCCCAGGCAGGAGTACAGTGGCATACTCACAGCTACTGAAGCCTCGACCTCCTGGCGTCAGGTGATCCTTCCACCTCAACCTTCCAAGTAACTGGGACTACAGGCATGCACCACCATGCCCGGCTCATTTTTTGATTTATCATAGAGATGAGGTCTCCCCATGTTGCCCAGTCTGGTCTTGAACCTTTGGGCTCAGGCAGTCCTCTCGTCTTGACCTCCGGAAGTGCTGGGATTACTGATATGAGCCTCCGTGCCTGGTGGAAAACAGGTAATTTAAAGGTGACTGTAATACAGTTAAACAAATGCCTCTTTTCCCCTTCTATACTAACTTGTTATTTAAATAGGGCAAGTTTTTATACATAAACATACTAAGAATTTACTTGTTTGATGTTAGTATGCTTAGCTTTATTTATCTTAGATAAAAATTTTTTGTGAATATTTTTATTTTTCCTTGACAACTTCTTGTATATTTATGAATTTTATAATTAAGTGGAGTACTAAAATAAATAATCTATATCAATTATGTTTGTGATTCATAGTTTATATTACATTTACTTTTGGTTCATTATTATGTTAATATCAATATATAAAAATCTGACAAAATATTAACTTTGGATTTTTTATTTTTATCAGAAATCATGAGTGGAGGATCTCAAGTCCACATTTTTTGGGGTGCTCCAGTTGGTCCACTGAAAATGACAGTATCACAGGACACAACTTCTTTAATATCCACTACTAGCCCTTGGAAAAAGATTCAGCTTTTATACAATCCACACTCTTTACATCTGAAGGATGAAAAATGCAAGCACAAGAATCTTGAAAACTGTCAAGTCCCAGAATCTGTTGGCTCTCCAGATCTTCTTAGTGGTCATCTTTTAGCAAACTCTGTGAATAGATCTATTCATGTGAAAGATGATTTTATACATTCTATTTCTGAAACACAGAATATAAAATCCCAGAAAAGAATTCACCCCTCAGGGCTGAGTAATGTAATCAATTCTAATGTGCAAATACCCGAATTAAAGAGCAGAGTTCAGCATTTAACTGAAGAAGAAAAGAATGAACATCTCAGTAAAAACAAGAAAATTATGGATGAACAGCTTAAAGATCATCAGTCACATATATATGGTCAGAACTTTCAAAAAAATTCTTTTCAGTTAGACTGTAAGTGTGTAGCTATATCAGATTTGGTCTGTAGTACTGAACAAATTAGTATAAGGCCTAAAGCAGCACAAACAAAGTGTGTGCCAACAGAGCATCATGAAATACAAAACCAACATCCGGAATTCTTTTCCTCTAACACAGTAGATAAGTCAAGGTCTGAAGGAGTAGTAGGGAATGCCTCAGAGCTTAAAATATCTACTGATACTGAATTTCTCAGTATAATGACCTCCAGCCAGTTTGCTTTTTTGACTCAAAAGAAGGATAAAGGGCAGAATCCTATAAAGAAAGGGAGCATAAACATGGAGACTGGACTAAAGACAAGTCATAGGGAAATAATAACTGAGGCTAATTTGACTCATTCTCATGATGATTTTGTAGAAGGATATGAAAATGGACACAACCAAGCTTATTCCCTTGAACTTTTTAGGCCTGTTTTTCCTAAAACAAAAAGTAGCCACCACATTCACATAAATTCTGATAAAGGACTTGAAGAAAATATAGGATCTCAAGAACTGTTCAGTTCTGAAGATGAATTGCCGCCAGATGAGATACGTATTGAGTTGTGTAGTTCAGGAATATTGTGTTCCCAACTAAATGCATTCCACAAAAGTGCTGTTAAAAGAAACTGTACCTCTGAAGATAAATCGGGCCATTCTGAAACTCTATCTAAAGTTGTCCAAGTATCTAAGAAAATGAAGTTGACTTCTGACACAAGAGATTCTGTTGTAGCAGTAGACCAAAGGAATGTGTCCAAATTTAAGGGTGTTAAAAAAACGTCATTAATAAAAAACTGTGATTCTAAAAGTCAGAAATATAATTGTTTAGTCATGGTGCTATCTCCATGTCATGTGAAAGAAATAAACATAAAATCTGGACCAAATTCGGGCTCTAAGGTGCCTTTAGCAACAGTTGTTGTAATTGATCAATCAGAAATTAAGAAGAAGGTTTTTCTGTGGAGGACTGCAGCATTTTGGTCACTTACAGTGTTTCTCGGAGATATAATTTTACTCACAGGTGAGGTCTTCATGGTACAGTGGTGGCTTATTTTATAAAGCTGTGTTTTGTTTGTTTTGTTTTCCTCCCACTGTTTAAGTCTTTGAGGACGGTTTCTTTACTGTCTGCCTTTTCAGGGCCTATCATAATTGATCCCATTATGGCATCTGTGCTGGTCTCCTTCCCACTGCCCATTCTCCTGTGCATTGCTACTTCTGGACCTTTTTCTGCTCTTCCAAGTTCTGCCTCTCCTTTCCACTCATCTTTTCCTTTTGAATCCTTCCCTGTTTGCTCCTCTTACTCATTCATCATGTCAGTGTTCTGGTCATATCACTAGGCTCCTTTTCATTTTTTTATGATTTTGTCTATTTTAAGTCTTTTCTTTAGCTATGTTAGCAGTCTTATGATGAAGGGACAGTATTTCTGCTTCTTTATCTAATCCCTAGTTTTGCTGTGCACATTACATTCTTAGGGAACAAATACAGATTTCTGATGCTTTATTTTATTACACTATTAATCACATTTGAAACTATGGAAAGGAAAAAAACTGATGTTATACCAACTTATTACAACCACCAGTAGTATTTTGGAGTGTTACCTTCCAGTTCTTTTCTTTTCTTTTTTGAGTTGGAGTCTCACTCGGTCGCCCAGACTGGAGTGCAGTGGCTGCTCCCGGTCACCGCAGCCTCGCCTTGCTGGGCTCCAGTGATCCTTCTGCCTCAGCCTTCCAAGTAGCTGGAACTACAGGTGCGCGCTACTGCCCGGCTAATTTTTTTGATTTATCGTAGAGATGAGGTCTTGCCAAGTTGCCCAGGCGGGTCTCAAACCCGTGGGCTCAGGCAGTTCACTCACCTCGGCCTCCCAAAGTGTAGAATTACAGGCTGAGCCACCGAACCCAGCCAGTTATTTTCTTTTCTTTTTTTTTGAGTTGGAGTCTCACTTTGTTGCCCAGGCTGGAATACAGAGGCACACTCACGGCCACTGCAGCCTCAACCTACTGGGCTCAGGCAATTCTACCTCAGCCTTCTACTTTCCAGTTATTTTCCTGTGCTCATTAAAATGTGTGTGTGTGTATGTGTGTATATTAATGTTATTGGGAATTTACTTTGTGTCAGACCCTGTTTTCCTTTGAATTCCTGGGCTCAAGCAATCCTCCTGCCTCAGCTTCCCAGAGAGGCTGGGACTATAGGCACGTACCACTGTACCCAACTAATTTTTCTGTAGAGATGGGGTCTTCCTTTGTTGTTCAGGCTGGTCTCAAACTCCTGGCCTCAAGCCATCCTCCTGCCTCAGCCTCCCAAAGTGCTGGGATTACAGGTATGAGCCACTGCTCCTGGCCTAAAGAAATATTTCTTGTTTATCAAATATATATAATATATGCCTTATGTAAACAGAGACCATTAATACCTTTTTTTGTAGAGCAGTGAACTTCCATACTGTTATCATTTTAATATACAAAAACAATTTTGTAACTTTACCTGTATACAGACATACCTAGGTTTAGTTGGTTTTTTTTTTTTTTTTTTGAGTCAGAGTCTCTACCACCCAGACTGGAGTACATTGGCACTGTCATGGCTATTGTAGCCTCAGCCTACTGGGCTCATGTGATCCTTTTGCTGCAGCCTTCCAAGTAGTTGGAACCACAGGCATGCGCCACTACATCCAGCTTATTTTATTTTATTTTATTTTGCTGTAGAGACAAAGTCTCACCAGTTTGCCCAGACTGGTCTCAAACCTTTGGACTCAGGCAATCTTCTCGCCTTGCCTTCCCAAAGTGCTGGGATTACAGAGTTGAGCCACCGTACCCAGCCTTGTTTAGGTTGGGGTCAAACTCTGTCTCCTAGGCTGGAGTGCACAGGCACAATCATGGCTTACCGTAGCCTTGGCTTCCTGGGCTCAGGCAATCCTTCTGCCTCAGCCTCCTGAGCAGGTGGAACTACAGGCGTGTGCCACCATACCCAGCTAATTGTTTGATCTTTTTGTAGAGGCAAGGCCTCACTGTGTTGCCTAGGCTGGTCTCAAACTCCTGGGCTTAAGCAATCCTCCCACGTTGGCCTCCCAAAGTGCTGGGATTACAGGTGTGAGCCACTGCCTCCAGTTGTTTTGGATTTTGGATTTGCTGTTTTTATCATTTTGTGCCTTTAGGCAGTTCATTTAACCTATTTGAAATTTATTTACTTGGCATGTGGGAGGTATACATAGTATTTTGCTATGCTTGGTAAATTAACAGTGTGAAGGAATTTATGTTATGACTATAACTTTTTTTCTCTTTCTAGATGTTGTTATTCATGAGGACCAATGGGTTGGTGAGACAGTACTACAATCAACATTCACCAGTCAGTTATTTAATCTTGGGAGTTATTCATCTGTTCAATCTGAAGAATGTAAGACATTTTGAATGTAATAATTTTTTAGTATCTAAAGTATATACACATACTAGGAAAGATTAGGGTTAAAATGGCTCTTTTACAAAACATTTTCTAAACAGTTAGCTGGAGAGTATTGGTTTCTTTTTTAAATTTTAATTTAATTTAAAGATGTGGGGTACAATTCAGGGTTAGGTATACAAATGTTCATTATGCAGGTTCCCTTGTTAATGAGGTGTGCCCCTCCCTCCCCTGGCAGTTTCCCTCAACTGCCAATCCCACCCCACCTTCCCTAGTAGTTTCCCACTCTGCCAATCCCTTTCTTATAGTATTATGATAATTGTTCAAGGTCCGCTTATAAGTGAGAACATATGGTACTCTGTTCTTCGTTTCTATGATAATCACTGAGTGCAATAGACTCGAAATTCATCCTAGTTGCTGCAAAGTCCGTATGTTTGTCCTTTAGGCTGCATAATATTCCATTATGTACATGTACCACGTTTTTTTAATCCAGTATCCAGTTTTGATGGGCAGCATGGTTGGTTCCATGTTTTTGCTGTTGTGAACAGAGCTGCAACAAACATGTGTGCAGGTATCTTTTTTGTAGAATGATTTGCGTTCCTCTGGGTATATTCCCAATAGGGGGATTGCTGGGTCATGTGGAAAGTCAATTTCTAGTTCTTTCAGAAATCACACTGTCTTCCAAAGAGGTTGCACTAGTTTGCATTCCCACCAGCAGTGTAGAAGCATTCCTTTTTCTCTGTATCCTCTCCAGCATCTGTTGTTGTTTGTTTTGTTAATGATGGCTATTCTTACAGGGGTTAGGTGGTATCTCAGTGTGGTTTTGATTTGCATTTCTCTAATGATGAGTGAGACTGAGCACTCTTGCCTGTGTCTGTTGACTGCCTGTATATCTTCTTTGGAGAAGTGTCTATTCATGTCTTTTGTCCACTTTTTAATGGGGCTGTTTGTTTTCTTCTTTTCAGGGTTTTTGAGTTCCTTGTAGATCCCAGATATTAGGCCTTTGTCAGATATACAGTTGGCAAATATTTTTTCCCATTCTGTGGGCTCTCTCCCTGGTCTCTTGGTGGTTTCTTTTTGCTTTGCAGAAGCTTGTCAGTTTGATGAGGTCCCACTTGTCTATCTTATTTCTTATGGTATGGGTGCTTAGGGTTTTGATCAGGAATTGGTTGCCAGTTCCAATTTCCATAAGGGTGTCTCCTGCGTTTTCTAAGATTCTTATAGTTTGAGGTTTTACATTTAGGGCTTTGATCCATTTAGAGTTAATTTTTGTGTATGGTGATAGGTAGGAGTCCTGTTTCAATCTTCTGCATGTGATCAGCCAGTTTTCCCAGCACATTTACTGAAAAGGTTCTCCTCTCCCCAGTGATTGTTGTTGGAGGCTTTGTCAAAGATGAGTTGGTTGAGAAATTGAGGCTTTGCTTCTGGTAGAGACCCTGTTCCATTGGTCTATGTGCCTGTTCTTGTACCAGTAACAGGCTGTTTTGATTACTGTAACCTTATAGTAAAGTTTGAAGTCTGTAAGTGTGATACCTCCTGCTTTGTTTCTTTTGCTAAAGATTATTTTGACTCTTCGTGGTTGCTTATGTTTCCATATGAATTTCTGTATTGTCATTTTCAGGTCTGAGAAGAATGATGTTGGTAACTTAATGGGTATTGCATTGAATCTGTAGATTGCCTTTTGTAGGTTGGACATCTTAACAATGTTGATTTTTCCAATCCATGAGCATGGAATATTTTCCCATTTGTTTGTGTCTTCTTGGATTTCTTTGAGTAGTATTTTGTAGTTCTCACCGTAAAGGTCTTTTACTTCTCTGGTTAGGTAGATGCTGAGGTATTACATTTTTTTGTGTGGCTATTGTGTGTGGGATTGTGCTTTTAATTTAGTTCTCTGCCTGCTTCTTGTTGGTGTATAAGAATGCAACTGTCTTTTGCACATTTATTTTGTACCCTGAGACTTTGCCAAAGTTCTTTATCAGTGCAAGCAGGTTTTTGACAGGTTCTTTTGTATTTTCAAGGTATAAGATCATATTGTCAGCAAAGAGGGATAACTTGACTTCCTCTTTTCCTATTTGGATACCCCTGATTTCCTTTTCTTGTCTAATTGTCCTAGCTAGAACTTCCAATGCAATGTTGAACACAAGAGGGATGAGAGTGGGCAGCCTTGTCTTGTTTCAGTTTTCAGGGGGAAATGTTTCCAGTTTCTGTCCATTTAATGATATGCTAGCTTGGGGTTTATTGTAGATGGTACTTACTGTTTTGAGGTATGTTCCTTCTATACCTAGGTGTTTGAGGGTTTTTATCAAGAAGGGTTGCTGGATTTTATTAAAAGTTTTTTTCTGCATCTAATGAGATAATCATGTGGTTCTTGTTTTTACATCTGTTCATGTGTTTAGAGCAAACAGCCCTGAATCCTGGGGATGAAGCCGACTTGGTCCTGGTGGATAATTTTTGAGATGTGTTTTTGGATCCGATTTTGCTAGAATCTTGTTGAGGATTTTTGCATCTGTGTTCATAAGGTATATTAGCCTGTAGTTCTCTTTTTTTTGTCGGCTCTTTACCTGGTTTAGCTTTGTAAAATGATTTGGGGTGAATCTCATCTTTCTTAATTGCCTGGAATACTTTCAATAGGATTGGTATCAGCTCCTCTTTGTACATTTTGTAGAATTCTGCTGGAAAGCCATCCGATCCAGGGCTTTTTTCGTGGGTAGTTTTCTTATGACAGAGTCCATTTCCTGGTTGTTATTGGCTTTTTTAGTGTCTCAGTGTCTTCTTGTTTCAACCTGGGGAGACTGTGTGATGTTAGAAAGTCCTCTATTTCATTTAGGTTATCAAATTTGTTTCCATATAGATGTACATAGTAATCTCTGATAATCTTTTGTATTTCTTCAGTTGTGATTTGATCTTTTATATTTCTGATTGTGTTTATTTGGACTTTTTCTTAGTCATTCTGGCTAGAGGTCCATCAATCTTGTTAATTCTTTCAAAGAACCAGCTTTTTGTTTTGTTGATGTTTTCTTATTTTTTTTTTTTGAGTTGGAGTCTCACT